TCATCCGAGTATGAGAACCTCGACGAAAGCATGAAATACAGGGATGCTGATGTGTGGCGCCAACGGACGTTAACTGGTCGGTCGGGTGGCCAGGCATAGTGTTCCACTAAGGATAAGGTCGATCGTGATTTGTTTGTTCACAGGAGTTTCGTAGAGGCACGAGGAAGGAGCAGGTGGGAATGAAAGCTGATGGAGGGAGGCAGTCAGGCATTGTACGCCAGCCTCGACTGCTGCATTCCGGTGTTGGCTGAAGTTTGTTGTGCAGCTTAAAAAGCATAGTGTGTGAGACTGGTATCACAGTAGAGTGATGATATAGGCAATATTAACTGCTTACTAGAGGAAAAGAAATGGCATGATATTGCGTATAATGAGATCTCTAATTAACAAGATACATTTGAGTGCTCATCTACGTTCCTGTGAAGTAAGTGAACGACCTTCGGCTGATGGTCAGTTTCAATAGATAGGTAGTCTACCATGAATTCTAATAGAAATGATGAAAAAGTGATTCCATTTTCTTCGAATTGCTCTTTTTTGCTTCTTTTCCTTCCTATAATTTCCCTGAAACTTCATTCGATGTCATTATGTGAAACGCAACCACAACGATGTAGAAATACAATCAAAACTCGGAACCGCAGTTGGGCTTCGAACCTGCAGTTACCTTTAACGGGGCTCACTTGAAACCTATAACACGCATGGCAGAATGTCTCACAGAAATGCCGAGCTACTGAACTTTATGAGTGCATTGGTCGAGAAGAAACATCTGGGCACAAACACTCTTCCGCAACACATTCAATCGACAGCGCACCTTTTGATCAAGCACTTCTATAGTGCGTCAATCGCTCACTGGAGCAGCAGTCCAAAGCAACTTGAACTGTGTAGCAAAGTGCTGAATTCAAACAAAGTTTAACTTTCTCATAAATGGTATGGTTTTCAGTTATACTTCGCCAAGGTGCATAATCTATGTGGGAAATTGTATTCGACTTCAGATTTGGAAGAATTGTATCGTGTCGGGTATTGAAAAGCCATTCTTACAAACGAAAGTTCACGAGACTGGTCATGACGTCGCACACTACTTATGGTTGCGTGAAAATAAGTTACCACTTACCCTGAACAACGTAAAAGCATTGAGATTTAGATGAGTAAACCATGGACTTGGATTATGGCCGTTTCTTTCGACGGGTTCCGTCTTCCCCCATACCGAGCAATACAGGCAGCTCCTGTTTTGAGTGAACTGCTGTGTGGGAACCACAAACAATTGTGAACCTGACGATAGTACTATACCAGACCAGCAAAAGATATGAAGCAAGAGGATGCCACAGTGTGATTGTCCTGCCACAACACGACGGCTTTTCCCAATTCAAGGGCCGCACAACAGCGTCCCATTACCAGCGGAGCTTGTTTATGTTCCGTCAAGCAAGCACTTCTTCTTTCCTATACTCGTTTTCCGCGCTCACCAAGCCGACCTTTGCAGATAGATGCGGATTTTTGTAGTGTGACTCCATCACACTTCTATTATTTATTAGTATTATTGTTGTAATTATTTCGCACTACTATTTCACTCTTTCATCTTTTGCTATTCACTACCATTACTATCATTGTTCCATAGATTTCATTATTAAGAAAATACTCGTGTAGTTTTAACACTTTTATGAAGGATTTTAACACGACCGGTCTTCACGTCTACTGTGCGGATCCCAACACTTCTCACACTCGATTCGTTTCCTCGCGTCCATCATCTCTAGGGTCTTCCAACCTTTACGTCTGGCTTCGATGCTGTTTGAGGGTTTTTCTATTGCCTTGAATGTCGTAGGATTCTAGTCGAGCCGATTCTCCTTGTAGTCCTGAGAAAATCAGCCTAGAGCGTACCCACTTGGATTGCAGAGAGATTTTTTCCCGGACCAATCCGGTAGCAATTTCCCGATGCCGGAGGGATCAGAGTTTTATTGAGCCTTGAGCGGGATTGAATCAGCGCTGTGCCGATGATGATTGACATGAATAGCACTGTGCCACCCGCGCAATATATCCAATTCATGTATTATTTTCGGCGTGTCGCGTTTTTACATACATTTTCAATTCCTACACGCATGTTTTTTCCAAAATCATTTTCCTTCCCAATATCCATGCTTTTTTTTTCGTGTCTTTAGCGTACTGAATTCACCTCTTTCTTTTTCTTTTTTGTTTTTGTATTTCTCCATATCTCGTCTGGCTACACTTAGTACATGCCATCTGCAAAAACATCTCTCATTACTTTTTCGCCGCGCACTCTCGCAGGAATGTTTGACGGTTCGCCTTAACAGGTGAACCCTTAAGTGCTCCTAATCGTTCTTTTATCTTCTATGATGCTAATATGAATGTCGTCACGCAAAAGGAATTGTACCAATTAGAACAATCTTCCTTCCATCATCTGTTCATGTTCGTTTATACACGGGTGGTCTTCCTTTTCGTCATCTTATGAAATGCTGAATAAATAAAGGTTTTGCGAAAAAATCAGTTTAAAGTCTAATGTGTTAACAGAGTTAGCCAGTAACTGAAGAACAAGCAGAACAAATAACTTAATCTGGTTCCGTCATAACAGCCTTGCAATACTTTATGGATTCAATCCATGGCTTTCCCAACACAGATGCTCTATCAGGCAGTGGTCGAATAAACCTATCCTCTATGCTTCGAAATTTGCAAAAATGATCTCCATACGACTTTATTCAGCGGAAGTAGAAGAGCGCAGCTAGCGAGGAGAGTGGTAAGATATTCTGACGCAAGGCCAAGGAATGTGCGCTCAAAAATGTTCTTCCACAAAGTGTGTCCTTGGGACGTCACACGTTCTCAATTTCGTCGCCCTGAAATACACTAAAAGTAGAACATACATTTAAAGCACATAAAAGTGTTTGTGACCAGTTATAGATAAATGTAACTTAAAGGTTCTGCAAAGAGTGTTATTAGTGTACGAACTACAACCACAACGATCCTGAGGTACAACCACAAGATTGCTGAGATATTTGCAAAACTCCGGACCGCAGGTATCTGCAGTGGGGAACGAACGCGCTATTGTCCTTTCCGGGGAGTAACGCGTTCACCACCACACCATGTGGGTCCTTCGTTTCGCCTGTCTCTCAGCTCAAATCTTGAGGTATTTGAAAAATTCAGAGCTCCATATCAGCTTTCAACCTACAGTTTCCCTTTTCGGTGGCTCACAAGCTATCCACCACACCGACTCAGGCTCTTGCCCTGTCTTTCTCTCAGCTAGTATTTTACCCAAACGGTGCTATCAGCAGTCATCCACCAACGAGGACGATCACTGAAGCACAAATTCGTATTGGACTCTGTTAAGCTGAAGCTGCAATCGAAATGACAAGAGCGGCCTCAGTGGTGTATTGGGTAACATGGTGACCCTTCGGAAAAGGTAGTAGTGGGTTCGAAGCTGGCTGGGTTACACTAGCACCTTTTCATCGACCCTTGAGAGGTGGAAGGCTTAGCGAGACCAGAAACCCAGGGTATTACTACCACTGCGCGTAATACGACTTGATAACTGTTACCGAAGATAAAGAAGTGTGATAAAGATATAGATAAGATATAGATATATAAGATATAAGATATATATATATAAGATATAGATATATAGCATGTAATATCGATAAAGTTGTGTTGAAGCGCATCGATGAATGCATACTCTGCTATCCCGAACTCATCTGATGAAGTTTTCTAAGCAGGTCATATTGTCGCTTAAGTTTTAAGACACATAGAAGTAAGACAGAGACAAACAAAGATAGAGACAGAGAAATAAGACAGAAAGAAACAGACGGAACCCTTGAAGAAAGATACGCTCAACAGACTTAGAGCGAGCAAGGCTCACTATTCTTACACGCGTCTGTGAGAAATTGAAAAATTAATGGAGACGGTTCGAGTCATTCGACGATCAACGGGACGACAGGTGTTACAGGCGATCCCAAGCTGAAGGTCAAAGGTCATAATTGTTTTCTGAAAAACTTGATTTGCCATAATTTGTTCAGAGTGTTATCATACTTAATTATTTATGACGATGAAGTAACATAGCCAGTGAAGCAAGTGAGAAACTAAGTGGAGTGGGGCGGGAACTTCTTACGGGCGTCTGGAGGAATGGGCCAGATCGTTTTTAACCTAGACGTCCATGGTTATCGGTTTCACCTAAGTGCTTTTACTCAATGAAACGTTACAAAAATAGAAGCAACGTCGAATGTTCAATTGGCCATTCATAAAAGGCTCACACGAACCCTCCACTGAAATTTACTCAAGCACGTCGTGTGCTGATATGTTCAAACTGGTGTAAATGCTTTGAGATTGCAATATTAAAAAATGATTTGCAGTTGGCTTGTATCGGTATCACGTTGAGATCATGTTGTTAACCATATTATTTATGAAGCGATATGATAAGAAATGATAGCGATTTAACGATATTAAAATGCTGATGCCAGTGATGCTCAGTTTGCTAACCTCACAGACCACAATCACTCGTCATGCTCGCTTGGTTCTGCATAAATTTTGTGAGTAATTGATAAACGACCATAACTGAGTTCTTACGCTATGTAGATCGTCACCTTATCCGCATTAATTAAGATTTGAGCATTACTGTAGTAATCACCAGTAGTTCAGGTTTGATTGTCTTTATTTCTCAAAATTCTGAATAGTTTAAAAAATTCCATAGGCGCCATGATCGTTATGGGTTACTGTTTTAAACGTATTCCATACGCATTGGACCATTTAGATAGAGTTCTATCATTTATCACGTGACTCAAGGCAGCACTAATAAGTCATGTCTCGTATCAGAGCCGTTACACAGTTTTCTCTCGTTAAAATGGCACAGAAGAGCGCATACTTTGCTGTAGTCCTTTTCACTGTCTTTGGCCAAAAGTAGCAGCGTCGAGCTCGTCGGATTCTACCAACCTCACTCCTTACTCGTCTACCGGATGGAAGCGTCGCACTAGTTCTCATATTGATTCTTAATAGACGAATGAACGCACCGCTCTGCAATGGAACTCGACATCCTCCAAGGACATCCCACCGCCGCGATCAAGGTGGTGAGCCTGTGAGGTTTTCCATACAGATTGTACTAGGTGATAGTAATGTATTTTTGACCTTCATGGAGACTGACTCTTGTTGTTTCCCCAGATTCCGATATAGGCAGAAGCCTTAAAAACTAGTCCTCAGATCGTAGAAATGACAATCAGTTCCTACTTTATTTATTTTAAATGGTGCGTTACCACAGTGCATCGATCCCAGAGATTCTTGCATACTATTCTTTTTCCATGCCTTCGACATCCATAAAGAACTTTCCTTCTTTATGGACTGCACCTCTACCTACTGTGCTAAGGTGCTAGGGAATCATGAACGCTTCTTCACTTGATGAGATGCTTTTAATGTGCTTCGCATGGACGCAGGTCAAGGGAAGGGCGCGTGTAGAGCAGTTGTTAGAGTCTTCCTGCAGGACACATGGGTGCGATCCAGCGCCTGAGGCTCACCAGGTCTTCCATCCTTTCGGGTTGGGTAAATGGGTACTGTGGGAGAATTCCTACTTGATACATCGGTAGCCTACCGCGCGAATGAGCGTTATTGTATAGTCCAGATATGCATTCAATCAACTCCAAACGACGCTTAATGAAGTCAAATGCTTGGCGCATCCCTCAGAGATTTATCAACGCCGAGAGTTTTATCCTTTATTTTCTATGTGTCACGTGAACAGCGTTTAGCTCACAGCTTCGAAAACGTCAGCTGTAATGTTGTCTGATTCTGGAACTGCGTTTCTTTTCATGGCTCGCGAGGATAAGAAAAAACGAACCTTTCAAACACACTAGCACTGCAATCCTTTACGCTATTTAAGGCTGTTATTATAGTAAATAAGATTCCCACAATAACCTAATGTAGAAAATTTACAGCTGATAATGTTCGCTCAACTGCTAATCGCTGAGCTAATAATGGTTCAATGTGGTGGAAAGAAGAAGGGCGCGGCCGCTCCTGGTACTGCTCCGGCTGCTGGTGCTGCTCCAGCTGCTGGTGCTGCTCCAGCACCTAGTGGTGAAAAGAAGGAAGCCGAGGCCGAGAAGAAGGAAGGCGACGGCGAGAAGAAAGAGGAATGAGGGCAGCAGAATATTTGGAGAGCCAGTGATCTTTGTAATAAAAACTGGTTTCCATAAAGTTTGTGCTCTTTGTAATAAAAACCGATTTCTATAAAGTTTCTGTCATACGCGCGCCTCTCATGAGTTCAGGTTGAGTGTACAATAACGCGAAACATTTCACGTTCCAAAATTATGACAAAAAAGTGTGCCGATTTCTGTAAGAGTAAAGGTTAACGAAATTACTATTGCTTACTAAACGACTTACTTAGACTTGGACAGCCCATCTTCATTAGTCGTGTGACTCCAGCTATTCTTCATTTTTCGGAGTTTCGCTGGTTAGACACTGCATTTCCTTGGAGACGCGAGGCTGATAATGTTCGCTCAACTGCTAATCGCTGAGCTAATAATGGTTCAATGTCAGCCTGGCCAAAAATTGCCACAAATCTTCACCAACACAGGCAGTCGCAACCTTTCCGGATTAGAAGAAAATTTGCCAGCATACTACTAGTTTCATACTAGGATGAAGGCGGATCCTGGTATCGACTTACTCTTAGCTGGGTTTTCTGATGGAAACGCCGGACCCCTTCTCAGCTTAGGAGACCCTGCCGGGTGAATGAATGCTCCCGAAGTGGATAGCAGCCCGATACTCAGGATCACCTTCGAGCCACGATGAGGCAGTAAACCGCTGGGAGGTGCTAAACTATTGCGATAGAAAGCTCACTAAGCAAGAAATTAGATAGGTACTGGCAAATTTTTAACAAAAGTGTAATTAATAATAAAAAACTAAAAGTGAGATAACGGTTCCAATTAAGAGGCTGATGTGTAAATTGAGGTGGTTAGAGGAATCATAGTGAGACATGTTTAGCGCTGTGGTTACATGTACCTTTTAATACACCAGAAATGGTCGTAGGTTTTAGCCAGAGCTCTGAGCTAACAATGAATTAAATATCTCGTCGGACCTTAGGTCGGAAAACTGGTAGTCAAAATTATCTGAAGAAAAAGAAAACGCGGACCCGAATAAACGGTTGACCCGCGAAAGTCATCATTTCATTCATTTATATAATTGTTTGGGTTAAATATGCGTCCAATCACTTTTACGAGGATAGCGTAGATAAACCAAATGCTGCTGTAGCTCACCGTAGATGTAACTCAAGAAAACTAGAATCTTCGAACCGGCATACCTCACAAAATTTGATATGGTCACGAACAACAACATCGAGATGGAATCGCTCCATCAGAATCTCAATCTCATATTGTGAGGAGACTGTTGAGGGAGTGGTTTAAATTACGGGATCAGTTGCTATGGGCGAATGTACTTACCATGCTTACCAATAGGAGTCCGCGTCTTAAAGAACTACTGCTGTTTGCGTCCCCTCATTTTTTTTTCTACGCAATGCCTCCTTTTTCGGCTCTTCCTTGCACCATGTCTCCTCTTGAATCTATCGATTCAATGTGAAATGTACCGCTGAGGAATTTTTGAACCAAAAAAATAGCTCTCGCAGCGTTGATCATTTCCTGATGGATGCGATATGTATTTGATTTCAGTAACATCACTAGATCATTTAATGCTTATCAAGCCTATACGGATTATGATGGCCTACCGATGTGTCGAGTCAGTGCTGCTATCCTATCTGACAGTTCTGGTACCAATTTGCTAACCTCGAAGGGATGGAAGCTGAGTGAACTTGGGTTTCAAGATGGAGCAAGCGTGTATTGCACACCACCTTTAGCCATCTCTTTACACACCCCTATAACGTGGAATAAAATGCTTTAAAAGAGGGCATACAGCCCGGAACGCTACTTAAGCTAATGAAGCGGTACATGTGGGCGTGAATGTGTTAGGAAATAACCAACTTAGTTCACCAAAAATTTTATCACTTAACTACACTTTTCACATTACACATAATAGAGTATAGTCGAGTAGTCCACGGTTGTTGAGCACGTGCGCGTAGCACAGCGTAGTTTGGCTTGGACTCCTAGGACTGAACTCGACCATACAGAGATAAGCTAGAGAACAGGATGTGAGCAAATCCATCGAATAGGCATTATTAATAACAATTGAACAGATGACGAAAAATTCTTATGTAGCTTCTTTAGTACAAAAACGGAGAACAAAAGGAAAACGGGTGACGAAAAACTGTAGCAAAACCCAACACTGACAAAGCACATTCGCGTCGCTGAATCTTTGTTTAATTACGCATGGGTATAAAGAAATGTGAGCGTAGAAAAAACTTCTAAGCAAGTACTGTAAAACAGCGTATAAAAAAAATCAGAGAAGCACACATCGTTTCCCGTTCTGTCCTAGCCATTCAGCCTCCTCTTTGAGCCAAAAATCGAGTTTTTTATACGCGTACGGAAACCTCCTTTGCTAGGTGTAGCTAAATAGAAAATGTTTCACTTAGGATTTAAAAATTGCCTCATCGAAAACACAATGCACTTACACTCTCTAGCTGGAATACTTGGTCCATCAATTACCATCTTCTTCCAAGGCTCATTGCTCAGGCTGTTACTCTTCATGAGATTGCCCGATTTGATTGGTGTCTCATTTGCAACCTATATAAATTTTTATTTATATGTTTTATACAGACGGGTGCAATCAAGTCACTTCAAAAGGTTATCATTGCAGTAATAATACAATTGCAAAAAAATAGCTATGTAGAGAATCGATACCTTATTAAGAGAAACTAGGCTGGCAGCGCTGCCTGGCGGCCGGCTTCCACCTCCAAATTTCAGTAAAAATGATCCGATTTTAGTGGGTTTCCAACCAGAAGGTGGTAACTGATGCGATGATAATGACGTAACGTCCATCTCACTACTACGAGAAAATCGTCGATCATCGAACTTAAAATAGTAGGGAAGTGATGGTACATCGTACTTGATGTTCACTCTGATAATGGCACTAACCGTTCCGATGTTATCATAGAATCCATCATCTTCGTCGTCAGCGACTGATGCCGCTCGTGATGATGCCGACTGATGGCCGCCAATTGAACCACGCCGAGCAGCGATCTGAAGTTAGTTCTGTGCTTATGTTCACACACAGTTCTCGGCCACATTGTACATACAATTTTCATTGGTTGTGATACACAAGAGTATACATTCTGACCTGATTGTTTTGACATGCAGCAGTACTTATACCAGAGCTGTTTGAAGAATAATAACCGCCATTTTGGGACGAAGTCGCTGATCCTATAAGATTTTGACATGGTTCTAAATAAGTGACACTTTCAATTAAGGACAGTTAGGAAGTAATAGGCATTAACATTCGCCATATTACTTGCTAAACATTATACGTATACGATTATCGTATAACAATAACTATAAGAAAAAAGGATCAAAAACACACCATTCCTTCCTGGAGGATGCGACGGTGGTTGGGTTGTGGGATAAGCAGGTATAAATTCCGTGGTTGTATAACTCTGTGGGGAGTGATGAACTCTGACACTCTGACGAGGGGGAGAGGCACGCTGAATGATAAATGTAAGAATATCATTACCATACATGTTTTACATGAAGCTTTAGCTTGCTTCGGGCATGAAGAAGCTTGTAAGCTCAGTGGCCAGCTTAATTGAACCAATATGTTTCCAAATATTAAAGCTAAACCCTTCAAATAAATCACTATTCATTGGCTACCTGTTATCTCACAAATGTGCAAAACGGCCACTTCGCCCTCTTTTAAATTTTCGAACGGTTTTCTGTAAGATGGAATAAATCTTTACCACAAAACATTGACATTACCTTGGGATACCGATTTGAGAACTCGCTAATTTCGTGATATGCATCATCTTCTCTGGGCCTAACGGGATACGGTTGCGGATTCCACTTATAGTGTACAGGTGCTGAAAAGGCAAGAATTATTCTCTTGCCGCGATCTTAAGTTGGATGAACTACTGACATCTGCAAACAAACGAAACACTAAAAGCGTAAAAATCAAATACCAATTAAGTAAAGCAGATAAATATTCGCTAGAACCGGTGTCATGCGTTCATGCACGTAATGGGCTCAACAAGATATATACGGCTCGGTTCAATGAAATGCTTTTTTATATTCTTCGTCGCTTCTTCACCTACGAAGGTTCGAAGAACGGAAGTTGAAGAGGTATACTGTGAGTTAAAGACAATAGGAAACAGTGTATCGTCAAGAAAAGTAATAAAACGACTAACTTAACAAAAACCCAGGACATGCTACAGCGCTGCATTCTTTACTGAGTTTATATACCTTGCTTGTATCTAATACGTTAAAAACTACGAGACGTTAGAAGAAAGTGACATATGGTACTACCCGGTACTTCATATATCAGCTAATGCGAACGAGAAAAGTGAAAACACTGAACATAAGGAAGGATGCAGAGTATTTTCAGTAACCTCATCTACGGATTGGGTGGGGTCAGCGCTCAAGTTGTCAAACGTCGGTGATGGTTGGATTTGAAGAACACACTCGTATAGAAGAGGATAGACATCATATGCACATATCAGAGTTCTGAAAGGGAATGAAGGCAGAAATCAACTACTCCCATTTCGAACCAGTTTAAAAATGGCGAAAATGTAGCAAATTATGGAAAAAAACCTGGATCGAGAGCTACGATTTTTGCACTGCATGACTAGCTTTTCAATGCAGACAATATAGTATCACTATATTTGACGAAATTAAGAATCAAATGACAAATTTGCATCAAACACCTTTATTCAATGCATTTTTTTAAAAAATAATGTCAATAGGCACAATGATGCTGAGATATTTGCAAAACTCCAAATCGCAGGTTTCTGCCGTGGAGACCGAACACGCGATAACCTTTTTCGAGAGCTAACGCTTTCACCACCACAACATTAGGGTCCTTCGTTTCACATTTCTCTGAGCTGTGTTTTAATTTATAGGTGCCATCAGCAAACACCCGTCAACGGGCTTGATGTGGGGAGCACAAATCGGCACTGAACCCAGTTGAGCTGGAGCTGTAGCGTAAATCACAATACAATCACTCTTTATTTACTGCCTATTCTTCTTCACGGTACAATTATAGTTCACACCATAGCCTGCCATGAGAAAGAATAGGCAGTGAATAAAAAGTGATTACATCGTAAGTAATACTATTAGCGTTTTTTAAAAACAATACCCGTAGTAAACCCGGTTTAGAGCTACCTATTGTCAAAAACTTAGCCATAGGAAGAAAATCGGTTGACCAATCGACCAAATATCAGACGAACAGAAATCGTACTGAAGCTCACAGTGTTCTATTTGAAAATATGACACCGAAGTCTCAAACAACCATACAAGACAAAAGTGGGTACATATGATATCTGTTAGACTGGAGTTAATAAACAGGAAGCCAATATGTCATGCATGCCAAAAATGTCTGACCGGTATTTCTTTCGAACATGTTGTGCATAGCTTCCACACGACTGGGATTGATCTTTTCCTGATTAATCGTCTCAAATGGATTCGACTGATTTGTGGAGTGAGGAGTAGCATACAAAACATGACCTGGAAAATGCTTACTAAAATCCTGTGACACTCCCTCGATCTACCGATATCTCTTAAACGACTTGTAATCAAGAAATTTTGGATCATTGAAAAATCCAAAAAAGTACTATATGGAAGAAAAATAACTGCATCTCTGAAAAAGATTAATAACCTGAGCTAAATTGTCCGCTAATAATTCAATGGACGAATGAGCAAACTATCTAGGACGGTTACGAAAGATGGAGTGGGAATCGAAGACACGGTACCAGAAATCAAGTAAGGAATATTCTCTACTGTTAAAAAACGGTTTAAGAACTCTCACCAGTGCTATTCGCCGCTATAAACGCTTTCAAGAACCATGTTCCTAATGCTTCAATGCCATGTAGCTCAAGCAGTACGCATGTGTGAGGCAGGTCAGCTGCTAATGGGTTTTACACTATATCTGTTCAAAAGTTGTGTTAAAGTGTGCTTTTTTAAAGGTGCCATAGCCATGAATCCAAAGATTGAGGTGTTCATCAGAAATGCCAACGATTACAGAAAACACGTCCCATTCAAGCTAAATGCTGTGATTATCCTTCAATCCTGGGTATACCTGGGCCATGTAATTAACATTATAAACGACTCAATACCAAAGTCGACATCAAGGAGATACCGAAAAAGGCAAAAAACATTTGAACTTGTACCCGACTTTTCGCTTTGCGGTTTTTCCTGCCTTAACGTACGCGCCGAGAATTTGGACGGTACGTATCCATGGTGAGTAACCACTCAACTTATAAGGCACACTATCGAAATAGCAAATATATGAGTAGCTTGAGCAAGAGGACGACAGGGCGATCGTAGAAGTATATATGTTGTTTCATGCAATTGAGATAGGGCGATCTTCGGAGTATCCTATATCATAGAAGTGAGAAAGTGAGAAACAGAATCCGAAGCTTCGACACGCCAGTGACCGAAGTTCAGAGAACTCGCTATGCATTTCACCAGTTGAAATGAGCCATCAGTGACTAAGTTTCGCGAGATATCAAACGCTACAAGAAGAAAACTGCGCTTGCATGTGGCAGTGATAAAGGGAGACTATTCTTAATCGACCCACTCAACGACAGTTATTTTATGGGGACTAGTAAAGGTAAAAAGTTACAGCTACGAAAACAACCGGCTTCTTAATAGATAGGCTTTTGTGTAGCCGAAGCCTAAAACAACTAGCAGATTCAAATAGCAAATCATGACATCGTATCAGCATTAATGAACTTCCTTCAGTGATAGCTTCGAAAATCGAACAAATCACGAAAATGTCTCAAAACGTTTCTGATTTCTGCTACACAGCCAGGAAAAAAGGAGCTGTTCTATCATATGTTACAAGTTCCTACGAAGAATTTATCCTTAACAACGTAAAGTAGAAGACTCACTTTGCTGCGATCTCTTTCGCAATGGCTGAGCAGAGTGAAAGTCGTTGACAACATTATTAAGCATGTTCGTCACCTCGTCCAGCGATTTCTGATGTCGGTGTGACGTCTTTCTTGCTACAGGGTGGTTTATGTGCTGTGGCGCTTGGGGTGATCGCTGTATTGACTGCGATGCATGCTGAACTGGTTGTTGTTGTGTTGTGACACGAGGTAGGCGATGCGAATTGTTCATCGTTGTCGAATGCGACTGATGTGTGCTTACTGTGCCACGGTACTGATCTCCTTGCTGTTGTCGACATTGATTTCTGCAACAAAAAACCAGAATAAACAAGTTGCTGCGTTTTAGCAAACAGTTTTTCATTATAGGCTGAGGTCAAGTTGGTAGTGTGCTCACTTCAGTTTACAATGGCTTGCGTTTAGGCGGACTTCTCTCACTTGAAAGTTTTCCGCGGTACAGATTATTATTGTTCAGTGAAACAGTTTCATATCCTCATTCCAAAATCAGGACATAAACTTCGGCCAGAGTTTTTTGCACTGCGGATTCAAAAACGGCACTGTAAATTCTCACCGTTAACATGTCTTTCACTTCTTGAAAATTGAGACTACTGGTGTGGAGTTCACACAGATGAGAAATCAGGATCACCCAGGTCAGATCAAAAAATTAGTTTGGGAGATGGAGCAACATATTTTTATGAATTGCTGTAAACTAAGGTTGTTAACAATGCAGACTCATAAAGAGTTTATATGAATACAATAACTTTCCGACCAATGCTGAGTTTAGCTAAATGTTATTCTTTCCCAACATTTCTTTTTCACTTTATTTGATCCGTCTTCACGCCTGCTGTGTGGATCCCAGCAATTCTCGCGTCCAATTCGTTTCCTCACATACATCGTCCACGAAGGTCTTCCAAGTTTTTACGTGTGGCTTCCGCTGCTGCTTGAGGATTTTCATTTCATCTTGAATGTCGTAGAATGCTGGTTGAGCAATTCTCCTTGGAGTCTTGAGATAGCGTGGCCGGAACGGCCCCGATCGGGCATAGCATGGCAGTGATTTTTTTCCCAGACAAGTTCGGTACCAATTTCCTGACCCCGGAAGGATGAGAGGCTTGGTTGGTCCGGAGCGGAATCGAACTAACACTATGCTCGTAATGACAGACATCACTACTACTGTGCTGTCCGCCCCAGCATTTAGGTAAATCGAATATCAGAGTTTTTTTTCCAAAACTCCGAATTATTCAAATTGTCACCTTTAAAAAAAAGCAGACCATTCGTAAATTGACAAAAACAATCACGACGTTCTCGTAGATCAGTGAAGTCAACACGATGACCTGTGAGTTCTTGGCAAAGCTCTTGGAACAGAAAAAGGATACTATTTATAGAAGGCAGAACTTCTATCATATACGCTATTTGGTCCTAAAGGACGGATTACGTGACTGGCTCATGGGCAGTGCTTGCGCAAGCCAATGTCTGAGAGAAAAAATGGTCATTTTTGAGCATGCCTGCACTATTATAGGATCTAGTCAAAATTTGCAATACTAAATAGCATTTAACAAGTTAGTGTGGATTGACAACTTACCAACTTCAAGTTACAACTTTAAGGTATGTGGCGATATAAACACTAAAACTTACGCCTGCGCTTTGTTTTCGTTCACTCGCAGTGGTTGCTTATAGAGTGAGTTCCCTGTTATGTACAAATTTTCGTGGCCGTAAGAAGTGGGAAAAGATCGTCGCTTATCATTGGTTGTTAAAGGCTAAATAAGGAAAAGAATCATTAAGAATGGAATCTGTATGACCCTCAAACTTTCTATATGCTTGATTTAATTCTACAAATGAAAGTGTTTCTGATGAAAATGTTTTGCAATGCGTTTCTGCGGACTACGGTGAAAGTGAATTCAACAAGACATAAAAAAGCATCAATATTCTGCTAAGAAGTTAGCGTTCCTACAGAATGCACTTCCAATTAGTTTGCTATAGATAAATGAGCATACATGTTCGGTGTTCAGTTCTAGTTCGGCACACAGCTGATCGATAGCCAACGATGGGTCCTTAGCAGTCGGCTGCTGCTGTTGTTGATACCTGCCACGGATGATGAGGCCAGCATCTGGCAGCGATCTTCAATGGCACAAAAGTCGATTTAAGAACATCAGTGGATTGATTCCAAGGAATTATAAGTAGACATTTTTTAAGGTTTTTTGAGGAAACATTTAGTGTAGGTTTCAGTAGTTAGACAACGTGACCTTCTCTCTTGGAACTCAATAGTCATAAAAGTATCTGTAACGTTGATAGACCAAACATTTAGAATGAAGATCTCTACCGACCTGATCTCTTAAGACTAAACTAAGTGAAATAATATCAAAAGGAAAAAACCTCAAAGATCCTCTCGTGCTTGTTCCGCGAGGAGCGAAGTTAGACACACTTTGGAAGGCCGAAGGAGATGGTCTAAGTGGATCTTCTGATGTTACACTTCCCTGATAGGGTTCCTAGAAGTCATTTAGTGAAAAATTCCGACCTCCGGTTTCATACGCATTCCTTTCACGTCACTACCTGTGATCCAGAACGCCAAGTGTTTTGTGGGTAGTCTCGTCGCTCGGGAACATGATCAAATGATGCTACCCGAGGAATATTCGGCACCTCCAATTCATAGTGAATATTTCGAGGGCTGGAAATTCCACAGGGATGTAGAAATCTGTTTTTTGGAAAATACTGGTAAGGAATAGAGCAAATTTTACAGAAGTGCAAAGACTCCATTCTGCAATGGGCTTTACATGAAATTAGTGAAGAAATTTTCTCACCGCTACTATCACTATCATACCGATTAAATAAAGAATTCTAGCGATCTGGTTGTCTAAAAATTCAAAAAATCCACATTAACAAAACCAGGATATTCTGTAAACATCCAAAGCTTAACACGGGTTACTGCAGATTGCCCGCAGTAACACTGCTGTTATGTCACTCACCCACTGTTACGTTCTGGTGTAGTAAAAACCGGTTGTGGGCGATAAGGTTGAGGACGAATAAGTGCCGGCTTCTCGAGCGAATTGGTCTTGGAGACGCTAAAAACGTAAAAGTTGCTAAGATCCTGCTACTTTTTAGGCGTTTGACTAGGGTCTGATGTATAATATCAATGTCGTCTATAGTAAATTTCCCCAATTTCATCGTATTCTTTCTACACAGAAAGCATAAATTACACTTGTACGAACCGACTAATTGAAAAATCGACTGGTTTGCCGAATCTAGGCACGTTTCGTGTAGAGGAAATGAGTAAATCAACTTATGTATAACTTTATCTACTGCTCATTACTTTTCACGAAAGGGTATTATGTGAAATGCAAACACAACGATGCTGAGATATTCGCAAAACTTGGACCCCAGGCCAGATCGAACCGCGATTTCTCTTTCCGGCGCTCACGTGTCGTTACCTACAGCACCATTTAGGCTCTTTCTTTGCCTTCCTCTCAGCCAGCCTTTTTACCCTGACGGTGCCATCAGCAATCACCCGTCAACGGGAATGATCTGGGAAGCATAAATCGGTAATAAACACAGTTAAGTTGATGCTATAGTCGAAATCACGGTGTATAATTTTTATCTACTGCCTATATGAATGTGTCGTTTTCTTGTTCAGCAATCGCGAGGTTTTTAAACAGCATACATTTACTTCCATAAAAACACAATACAATACAACGCTAGCTGACGTTTCGGCAGTGTCGCCTTCTTCAGAGCCTGGAAGGGTATACTGATATACAATCTACTAGGCCAAACGCTTCAATAACACTTACAAAAAGACGAAGAACTCTTTGGTAATTACATGAACAACAACTTCTCGAAAAACCCACCGCTTTTTTCGTGACTTCCAATGAGGAAGTTTAGAACAGCTGATTATAGTCGCATGT